AGCGTCTGATTCTGGATCAATAATGACTACAGTTCTAATGCTCTCTTCATTTGAAGGTGGACTGTTTTCTTCATCTTGATTTCCAGTGTTGGTGCCGTTTGAGCGTGGCGTAGTGTCAATACTTAACGGGTTACCAGTGGGCTCTGTTACCGTATCAGGTGGGAGATTGACAAGAAAAAGCCCTGTTCCTTCACGCTCTTGTTGGTACACAAGTGGATCTTCCGATGGTTGATTCTGAAGTGCACTGTGGACATAATTGTCACTATTGTCACTATTGTCATTATTGGGAACCTCTTCTTCTTCTTCAGTCAGGAGTAGCTCTGGTTCGTCACACACATATACATACACACACTCACACACACACACACACACACTCTCTCTCTCTCTCTCTCTCTCTCTCTCTCACACACACACACACACACTCTCTCTCTCTCTCTCTCTCTCTCTCTCTCTCTCTCTCTCTCACTCTCTCTCACACACTCACACACACACACACACACACACTCTCTCTCTCTCTCTCTCTCTCTCACTCTCACACACACTCTCTCTCTATTTCTCTCCTTCTCCTTCTCCTCACCCACTTGACATAAACGAATAGTGTGTATATGTTACTTCTCTTTTCAGAAACTATTAGTGAAGCTGATGGAAAAAGAAAGCATATCCTGCATGTAATGTAATGTAAAGAAAAAGAAAAATAAGTTAGTGTAGGGGTAGTAGTAGTGTAGTAGTGTAGTAGTAAAGTAAGTAAGTAAGTAAGCGAGTAAGTAAGTAAGTAAGCGAGTAAGTAAGTAGGTAAATAAGAAAGTAAGTAAGTACAGTTAGTGTAGTGTAGTGTAGTGTAGAACTAAGTAAAGTAAGTAGTAGAAGTAGTGTGAAGAGGATCAAAAAAAAATTTCTAAAGACACAAAATATTTTTATAAAACTTTCTCTCCGTCTCTCTCTCTCTCTCAGTCTCAGTATTTTTTTTTTTAAATTTTTTTTCAGTAAGAGGAGGGTATAAAATATACACTGCACCAGACATATTTGTTATCAAAGACAGACATAGATCCTTTTATAAGATATGTCTGATAACAACGTCCATGACTCCAAGCCTGACTCAGGCGCTGTTGTCCCTGATGCAAATGCAAATGCAAATGCTGCAGCTACTAAAACAGGGGCAGCATCTGATGCTAAAGATTCAGGTAAATCATCGGGTGATCCAAAAATTGAAAACCAGCAACAGCAACAGCAACAACAATTACAAGCTCACTTGCTGGGCCAGGTTAATCAAGGCTACAACTATCAACAAGGCCAGGGCTCGTTCCCTAATAACTACCAATATGGACAAAATGTGAACCAAAATTACAATGGCAGCGCAAATTTTCACAACAAGGGCCAATACAATAATTCTAATAAACACCATCCAGGAAACAGACAGAATTTCAACAACAATGGTAACAACTCAAACTCCAAGTTCAACCATAACAACAACAGTCAAAACAATCCCAATGCTCTGGCCCATTCTCACAGAAAGCTGTTTAGTAATGCTAAAATGAATCACACTCATCCCAATCAGCAACAGCAACAACAGCAGCAGCAACAGCAGCAGCAACAGCAACAGCAACAGTATATGGGATATGCATATGGCACTGCGGTTCCACAAGCCTTTCAGTACGGCTATATGCCTCAATATTATGTTCCTATGCCATACATGTCACCGGCATCTCAATCATATGTTTCTCCAACCAGCAGCGCTTCCAGTAGCTCAACACCTCAATACGTTCACCCCCAAACAAGAACTCCACCTGTTCCAAAAGTGAAATTGACCACCAAGGACGGTAAGCCAGTTGACTTGGAGGAAAAAAAGAAGAAGACTGCATCGTCAACCCCAGTAGCATCACCTTACGCCAAACATGCATCACCAGCAACTGTCCCTGCAACCACCACTACACATGCTGAAAAACTGGAATCATCAACACCAGGTGCCGCATCTACAGAATCTGCTGGTGCTGCAGCTGCCACTGCTTCCGCTGGCTCCCCAGCATCTGCATCTGCATCTGCATCTGCATCCGCTCCAGCACCTGTTCTTTCAGCAGCAGAAGAATTCAAAAGAAAAATCAGAGAAAAAGCTGCTGCTGCCGCTGCCGCCAAAGAAAAAGAAAAGAAAGATGCCGAAGGTACTCAAGAGAAGGAAAAACCAAAAGACGAACCAAAAGTCGAACTTGGGGATGCAGCAGCAAAGGTGGAAACTCTGTCGGACTCTAAAGGAAATAATACAGAAACGAGCTCCGAAGCGAAGAAGTCTGAACCTTCAGAGGTTGAAGAACCAAATATGAGTGCAGGTTCTGAATCTGGGGTGACATCAGAGGTAGCTGATGAAGGAAAACCCGCGGAGTCTCTTGAATCTACCCAGCCCATTGAAGCTACAAATCAGGAACAAGTGGCTGGTGTTAGCCCAGTAGAACCAACAGAGACGAGAGAACAAGAGAAATCACAAAGTGAAGAAGTTGGTGAGACCACGCAAACCGAGGCTGTACAACTAGAGACAAAGGATGATGTCACAACAGAAAAAGCAGACACTACCGCCGACACTGCCGCCGACACTACCGAAACATCTGCATTTGCTGACACTAAAGACGCACCCGAAACGGCAGAACCTGAGTCGTCAGAAAATACCGAGAAAACACTCGATATTTCACAGTTTATGCAAAAGATATCTGAAGTCCATACAATTACAAACATTTTGGAAACTGCTTATCCTGAGAACATAAAAGGCGTTGACAGCTCAAAACAAATTCCCAGCAAAAAGTACAGATATGATCCGCAGTTCTTAATTCAATTCCGTGATGTCGTACAATACCCCATTGATACAGAATTCAAAACGCGTTATAGCTACTTGGAATTTGGCCTGCTGCAATCCGCCAGACGTTCAGGATCCACTAGAGACTCCTCGTCTCGTAATGCCGGTCCAGGTCCTAGACAATCAAGTAACATGGGACGTTTTGGTGGCCCTCATGACAAGCGAGGTGGCCTTTCTAATGGTCCTAATGCGTATGATAGCAGACAAAATTCCAGAACCGGCTCTAAAAGAAGAGGTACATCTACAAGAGATAAATCTACTAGAAAACCACTTCAGTCAAAGAGAGGTAGAAACAATGAAGCACGCGAACCAACCGAAGAAGAATTGGCTAAGGAGGCGCAGAAACCAGCTGAGGACGTTAAACCGTTGGAGAAATCGGCAAATAGATGGGTGCCTAAGTCAAGAGCTAAAAAGACTGAGGTGCGTTATGCTGAAGATGGTAGTATCATAATGGAGAAGGATGATGTGGAAAGGAAGATTAAATCATTATTGAACAAATTGACGTTGGAAATGTTTAATGAAATTACGGATGAGATGTTGGATATAACCAAGCAATCTAAATGGGAAACTGATGCGTCAACTATTAAACAGACCATATCTTTAACGTTTCAGAAGGCGTGTGATGAACCTTATTGGTCAGAGATGTACGCTAAATGGTGTGCCAAGATGACAACGCACATTCTTCCGGAAATCACGGATGAAACAAGTACATTGAAAGACGGCACTCACCCATCCGGTGGTGCATTGGCTAGAAGAGTGTTGTTAACTACATGTCAAGTTGAGTACGAAAAAGGTTGGAGTGACAAATTGCCAACCAATCCTGATGGCTCTCCACTCGAGCCAGAAATGATGAGTGATGAATATTATGTCATGGCTGCCGCAAAAAGAAGAGGTTTGGGTCTTGTCAAGTTCATTGGTCACTTGTACAATTTGAATATGTTGAATGACCAGGTCATTTACGTGTGTCTTAAAGATCAATGTAGCAATACTACTGACCCGTCGGAAGACAGTTTGGAAAATCTTGCCCAATTAATAAAGACTGTTGGACCCAAATTGGATGCCAATGAACGTACTAAAACTATGCTCAAGATTGTGTTTGAAAATATAAATACAATTTTGAACAATGTCAAGTTGAGTTCTAGAATAAAGTTTATGTTGATGGACTTGCAAGATTTGAGGAAGGCAAGGTGGCAAACGGGAAAGCAAGAAGCACAACCTACAACTATCGAAGCTATACACCGAGATGCGGAGATGAAAAAATTGAAAGAGGAGAGGGAAAAAGGTAGAAGACCGCAAAACACCGGAAGAGGAGGCAGTCTGCATTATGGATCAAATAACTTGGGTGGTGCTGGTGGCGGAAGTTCGAGATCAAATTCAGGGTTTGGCTCAAATGCAGCATCAAATTCAAACTTTTTCAGAAAATCGCCTTCGGTGGGAAGATCCGACTCTAATGTTAGTAGAAGTGCTAGTGAACGTGGAGGTTCGGCTGCCAACACCTCCAGCAACCTTGCCGGAAGTGACATTCAAAGAGATTCCTCAAGGAGGTCAGAAAATCAGCAAGTTAATAGATTTGCTGCATTAGGTGGTGATGAAGAGGAGGTGGAAGATGAAGGAACTCGTGATGCTGGAGAGGAGAAAGGGAACCAAGGTGCCGAGAAGAGTCAAGCTATAGAAACTCCAGGGGAGAGTTGAGATGTTTTATATATGGGCATGTAAATCAACTTTTTGTACATTAACGTACGCTTTTTTATCTTTTTATAAAACTGATTTTACATAATATTCTCAAAAAGAGCACAAGCTCACTGAAAAAAAGTGTACATTTACAACATGGGACCTCTAATCAATATGTAAAAGACACTTACGACATGGCTAAACTATCATACTGCGGGCTGGTATATACATACTCATTTTGATAATCACTCATCCTGTCTTTCAAAAACTTCAACAACTCCTCCACCTCCAGCACCAAGACATTAGTACTTAGTGCATCCATCGTTGTTTGACTGATTAGTCCCGGTAAAGACACTAGCAATCTTAGTAGATGTTCTACTCCGTAAACTTTAGCCTGACTATGCTCTTGCGTTATGGTGTTGTTTTTCAATAAGTCCAAGTACTGCAAGTTTTCGTACTTGTACAACAAAAGTAAACTTACAGATCTATCGAAATAAATCTCTAGACCATGTAATATTTCAGTGAGAACTCCTAGCTGATGTGATTGAAGGTTTTTTGATCTCCAAATTTTATAGTCTTGGAGAATAGTAGACACGCTTTGTTGACTTGGTAAGTCCACTAGTTTCTTATCCTTGGTGATATACTGCCAATCGTTAACTAAAAGATATTTCAATTCAGGAGGAAACGAAAGGTTGATACTTATGCTCTTTTTTGTTGCTTTTGATTGAGAAGTTGAATTATTGGACGACGACGACGATGACGAACCTGCACTGTTTAATTTTGTTTTCTTGTTTCCGTTGTTGTTGTTTTTGCTCGCCGATTCTGTTGGACCAGTCGAAGATTCTCTCTTGACTCGTTTCTTCTTTGTCAATTGTTCCAATTCTTGTTTCTTAAACTTGTTTTCGTCGTTGATTTCTAGTATCCTGTCGATCCCTACCCATTCATCCCATTTCAGGTTCCACCCTTGATAATGCAACAAGTAACACGTGACATTATCCCATTTTTTAGCACTGAATTTGTGATTCTGTTCCAAGGTCTCCTGTTGCAAATCACCGTTCAATATGAATGAATCCTTTGCATTTTTCATTTTTATTATTTTTGCTTCATATATGAGAGGACCATGATACGCATAAACCAACTGGTTTGGTTTCAAGTCAACCATACTGGACTCGTTGGATTGTTCTATTCGGTAATTGTAGATGTAGCCTCTGCAGAGTCGCTAAATTCTTTCAAGTGCAATCAGTCAAGTTCTCCCACAAATAGCTGTTCCTTTTATTTGGCCATACGCAATATGTGCGTGCTTTTTTTGATTTTTTTTCTCTTTCGCCTTAAATCTTTTTTTCAAAATGAGCAAAGTGTGAGAGCAAGTCTGAGACAAACCACCAAATAAACACACCGACACCGACACACACAGAGAGAAAGAATCAATTAAAATAAACCAACTTCACATTACGTTTTCATTCACACCCAGAGCTAATAAATACAAATGAAATGTCCCAGTCCTCGAGTATAGTCGGTGTGCATTATAAAGTGGGCAAAAAAATTGGAGAGGGTTCATTCGGGGTTATTTTTGAAGGCATCAACATCTTAAACAATCAACAGGTTGCAATCAAGTTTGAACCGAGGAAATGTGAGGCTCCGCAATTGCGCGATGAGTATAGATCTTATAGAATCTTGAACAAGACGACAGGGATTCCGCAGGCCTATTTTTTTGGACAAGAGGGCGTTCATTCAATATTGATAATTGACCTTCTTGGGCCTTCGTTGGAGGATCTCTTTGATTGGTGTAATCGCAAGTTCAGCTTAAAGACGACAATACAAGTCGCAAAGCAGATGATTGAAAGGGTGGAATCCATACATGAACACGACTTGATATATCGCGACATAAAACCAGATAATTTTCTTATAGGAAGACCAGACACACCGGAAGCAAACCAAATATTTGTTGTTGACTTTGGAATGGCAAAGCAGTATCGAGATCCCAAGACAAAAGTTCACATACCATATAGAGAAAAGAAGGCTTTGAGTGGCACAGCTAGGTACATGTCGATTAATACTCATTTAGGTAGGGAGCAGCTGAGGCGGGACGATTTGGAAAGTCTTGGCCATGTGTTTATGTATTTTTTGCGGGGGTCTTTGCCGTGGCAGGGTTTAAAGGCTCCAACAAACAAACAAAAGTATGAAAAAATAGGGATGAAGAAACAAACTACTTCGGTAAATGAATTATGTTATGGTTTACCTATTCAATTTGCTCAGTACTTGACATACGTGAGAAACTTGAACTTTGATGAGACGCCCGACTACAAATACTTGGTTGGATTGATGGACAAAGCTATGCTAACACTCGGCTTTGAGGAGGATGGTCATTATGATTGGATGGATTTGAATAACGGCAGAGGCTGGGATGCGGCGTTGAACAAAAAGGCAAACTTGCACGGGTATGGAAACCCCCATCCCCCAAGGAGGTCGCAGCTACAGCAGCAACAACAACAACTACAGCAACAAAAGAGTCATAATACAAATTCACCGTCATACCAGCGGCTCCAAAGCTATGCAAATTATCCACTGAATCAACAGCCACAGCAGCAACCGCTCTTGGGCAAGAAATTGGATGGCCGAAATGCTGCTACTACTGCTGCTGGTGCGCAAAGAAGGTATGGGTATCAATCAATTAATCAGGACTCCAAAGCTTCAATGTTGGTAAATGCGTACCAGCCTGGACAGGAACGAGATTTGGAATATGGCGGTGATCAGAATGGTATAATCAACTCGAGAAATGACGAGGATCTTCATTCAGACACTTCAAGTTTCAATAGAAAGAAAAGCCGGTCTTGCTTCTTCTGTTGTTACATATAGCAGTAGTTTATAGATTAATGTGTTATTAAATAAAGATCTATAACCATTCTTTTTGCAATGACTGATTACAATTTAGAGGCATCAACAAATTGCACACCTTGATCAATTGATCCCTTCAATCCTTTCAACGCAATTTCAACTAGTTTCTTTTCATCGTCGGTGACGTGAAGTGATTTAAAGGGGTCAATAAACGAACTGACTGCCCCATTGCTCAAAAATACTGGAACTGAAAAGAACTCGACTCCCTGCAAATGGGCATCAGAGAATTCTTTTCCACCTGGGATACCTGGCAAGTAGATGTAGGCAGAGTCAGGAATGGCTTCGTTCTTTGAACGTCCAGATAAGGAGTCAATCACGTATTCGGCAAACCTGTAGCCAGCATAGGCCATCGACAAAGTGGCGGAACCAGCACCATTTTTAGCCTTGACAACTTCGTCACCACCAAACTGAACACGGTGTACAAAATCATCGTACTGTGATTTGCTACTGATCAAACCAACCAGCTTGTTATAGTTGATCAATGGAACAATAGTATCACCCGAATGGCCACCAATAACGGAGATTTTTCCCTTCAAAGTGTTTGGATTAGTATTTGTTAATTCACCAAAAAAAGTTTCAGCTCTGACGCTGTCCAAGGTGGTTACACCAAATAACTTCTTGGGATCAAACACACCCAATTTCTTCAAAACTTGTGCTGCGATGGGAACTGTTGAATTGACGGGGTTGGAAATGATTAAAATTGCAGCTTTGGGGGCAGTTCTTCCAATATTCGCAACCAAGTCTCTAATGATAGATGCATTGATGTTGAATAAATCTGCCCTAGTCATTCCTGGCTTACGGGGGACACCAGCCGGGATGATGACAACATCAGTGTCTTTTAGAGCATCCACAATAGCTGTTTTATCTTCTTTGTCCTTTGGCTGGTAGCCAGTGACCACTGCTGGCGTATTGATGTGGGATAAATCGGCAGCAACCCCTTTAGCATTGACAATATCAAACAATGCCAATTCAGTGACATTGGTATTTAATTTCAACAATAAAGATAATGGTTGGCCAATACCTCCTGCGGCTCCTGCAACTGTGACTTTAACCATAATGTGTGCTGTGTTTTAATAAAAAAAATCGTGGGAGAATGAGTAACAACTTAACTGTGAAAAGAAAAGAGTATTAAAGATGATATATATTTTTTGTTGTTGGTGGTTGGTTGTTAATTGTTTGCTTTTAAAAAGAAAGCACATGCAATGGTTGGAGGAGGAGAGAATATATATATATATATATATATATATATGTAACAGTTTAAGTAATCCTGTGGTTTTTTTGTGTGTAGAGAGAAAAAAGGGACGTGGGGTAGGAGCAGAATTATCCGTTGATTAAATTGTAGCACGTGATCTCATTTAAAAATCACCAAAGTACCCGGCTATGAACCAAAAGTTGTTCATAAATGTTTGAATACTGCTACAACTTGCCAGTAACTATTTACTGAGAGCTGAGCTCTTGAATGGTTTCAAATGATACTTTAGTGTGTTGGTGCTAATATGTTTAATGTTACTGACCATCATTGTCGCTTAGAAATACCGAGGGTAAATTATAACAAGAATTAACGTTTACGAACTACAGACAGGGTTGTTGCATCAGTTAGCAACAACTTTTTATAAATTGAATGATACTGTACCCCCCTATGGTTACCTTATGAGGCCGAGCATGTTAAATACCTACTGCCTTGACAGACTCCTACTTCGGTATTAAAAAAGGACACACAATTTTGTCACCTATTCTACGACGATTTATGACGCAGACACTGCTTTTGATGGTGCTCAAGTCACTTAGACTAACCTACCCCATTGGATCTGCTCGACTGCTTAGTTACTATCTTCATTCAGTCGCAACCTCAGAGTACTTCGCTTGATGGACGTTTTATAAAGTGTGTGTCTCCGTGTCTGTGTCTGTGATTCGCGAACAAAACAAATGCACCGAAGAAAAAAAATAAAAGAAAACAAATTTTTTTTTTTAATCCAGAGCAAAGAGAAGAAAGACACAACTCCGATAGAATTCATTTGACAAGTCAACTCGTCACCACTCAAAAGATTTAAACAAACTTTCAAAAACGTAAAAAAGAAGCATAATCAATACTTGTCTCATCGTACCAACTACTTCAATCGCACATGCTCAAATCAACTATCACCTTACTTCTTACGTCTGTGTTGCTATCAAACGCCATCGATTGTTCTGTCAAGGACCTCCAGCCTTACAATTTCGAAAGCATCAAAGGAACTCACTCATTCTCAACAATTAAAAACACGCCTCCCACAAGAACTAACATCACTTGGACCTTTGGTATATGTGAGTCTATATCCAATGATAAGAAAAACGATTTGCAAAAGTGTCCACAAAACTCCGATATCTGTGGAATCACATCGATCTTACGCGATAACGAAGAACCGATCGTATCTGAAGTTATCGGTTTCAACTCAAATCTTCAAAAGAGCTACGATCCATTGGGTGATAAGGGCGATGGTGGGATTAAAATCACTTACTCAGGAGTCAACTGGGGTGATTCTTTACTTGATGCTGAACTAAGCTTTGTCTGTGATAAGTCGATAAAGGAGAATCACAAATTCGGATTGGATAGCTGGAACGGTGAAGTTTTGAAAATTTCAATGAGGTCAAAAGCTGCTTGTATTACCAGTGATAATGACAAGAAAAAAAACAATGATAATGGCAACTCAGACAAGAAGAAGGATAACGGTGAGTCATGGGGCTGGTTCACCTGGATATTCATCTTTTTGGTGTTATTCTTGAGCATCTACATTATTGGAGGTGCTTGGTTCCAGTACAACAAAGGCAATGCCATTGATTTCCAAAGTGCACTCAAGGAGGTTCTTGAAAACTTCTTTACATTATTGCAAAGCTTGCCTGGATTTATTAGAGAGATCCTTGAGAAGGTTGTCGGCAGGGGTAATAACAGGGGCGAGTATAGTGCTGTATAAATGGAATCAATTTATAGTCTATAGTGAAATATAATGTCGATTAGTTTTAAATGTAGGTTTCTAAGCACATCAATGCAATTGGCACTGATTTGTACCTTTTAAAAAAAAGGGGGGAACCAAACCTGTCGGTGTCTTGTGAAGGCACAAAGTTATCACGCTTGAAGTTGGCAGTATAAAGAAAGTGGAGCCTGTGTATCCGATTGGATTCTGCAACAGAGAAATGACAGAGTGTTCGCTACCAACTTCACGTCTAACGGTCGTGTGGTTAAAATGTTCCTGGTCAGGCCACAAAAGCATAGCTTTTGGAAAGATTGCAGTCAGTGCAATATAGCTTCAGGCAAAACGGTGATGCTGCATGAACTCCATTCATTTTCTTGAATACCCTCGGCTCAACTGTGTGTGTTTTTTGTGTATCGTATTGTCCCGCACTTATGCTCCACATTTCATGAAAATTCCGAAAGGGTTTTTTGTGCACGACGGCAGTGTAATAAAGATTCTATGGTATCAAAAGTCTTAACGAAAGTAGCCAATAACGCTTATAAAGGGCGCCATTAGGCGGTCGAGGTTACTCACCCAAGTCAACGGTTGCAGTTGTTTGCAATACATCAGTATGAGTAAAGTTGAAAGCTGACATTTTGGAGAGTATAATACAAATTATGTTAGCATGTGATTTATTTGATGCCAGGTTAGAGCATGAAGACCCTCGGCCGCCTTGAAGTAGTAATCTCTTTCGGCTAATACATAGGTAATTAAACCCCCTCGCCAGGCTAACGACATAGCTTGCATATTAAAAATAATACCGAATAAGCTGTTCTATTCTAACAGCGTGTAGTAACCACTTCCATGCACGAAAAGAATCAGGTGTAGAATCGAAAAAAAGAAAAAAGAAAAATAAAATAAAATCAATCCCTATCAACAACAACAACAACAACAACAGCAGCCTACCTTGTTCTTAGATTGTTTCTTCACCGACTAAGTAACCCTCTTTTTACTGCTCGACACGAGAAATACCAATAGAAGATTGCTAATACACGCTTTTATTCCATTCTTAACCAAATCAGACCAACATGTCGGGAGACACTGAAGAAATCGCCCATGCAATTGCAGGTGCAGGAGGTGGAGCATTGTCAATGATAGTCACCTACCCATTGGTAACATTGTCAACCTTGGCTCAAACTAAGGCAAAAAAGAAGGAGGAAAAACAGGCCGAACTTGAGGTTGAATCAGAATTGAAGCACACGTCAGAAGCAAAAGTGAAACAAAAGTTTTCACACAATTTCCACAACAACAGCACAGTTTTGGCCGCTAAGGAGATCATCAAGGAAAAGGGAGTTTTAGGATTGTACTCAGGGTTGGGAAGTGCAATTTACGGAATTACCTTGACGAACTTTATTTATTATTACTTTTACGAATTGACTTCGAATATCTTTTTGAAAGCAAACAAGGCCAATAAAAAGAGGGCAGGGTTGTCAACTATTCAGTCTATCATAACTGGAGCTATTGCTGGGGCAATCACGTCCGTTGGAACCAATCCTATTTGGGTTGCAAACACGAGAATTATGACCGAAAAGAAGCAAAAGGGAGAGGGTAACGTCTCAAATTCAACCTTAAAGACCATTTTGGAAATTATCGAAAAAGATGGGGTTGGCACTTTATTTGCCGGAGTTTTCCCAGCATTGGTCTTGGTGATAAACCCGATTATACAGTACACTCTTTTTGAGCAAATCAAGAATGTCATTGTAGCTGGCGGGGGTCAAAAGTCTTTCACGGCAATTAAGGCGTTCTTTATTGGTGCTTTTGGTAAGTTAGTAGCTACAACATTAACTTACCCTTATATTACTTTGAAGTCAAGAATGCACATCAGAAAGAAGGTGTTGAAGGAAGAAGGCAAAGCTGCTGCTGAAGAAATTCCAAATTTGTCCATGTACCAAGAAATCAAAAAGATTATTCGCGAAGAAGGATTTGAAGGATTATATGGAGGGTTAGTTGTTAAGTTGATTCAAAGTATTTCAACTGCTGCCTTCCTTTTCTACTTCAAGGAGGAGTTGTTGGTTGGAAGTGTTAGATTAGTTGAGATACTTAGAGTGTTGAGCTTGAAAAAGGGCAAAGCAATCAAGGCGTAATTAGCGTGTATGGAAAAAAGGGTTGGTTCAATGGCCGCTGCGAAGTGCTGTGTTGCACAGTGTTTCGCAGTATTGGATGAGTTTTTCTATATACATTGTATTAGCTCTAAATAGCGAGTGGAAAATATTACTTTAAGTGAACCAAAGAATTTAAGACAAATTTCATCCCCTCTTGACACTGATTTTCATTTCAAAATCAGTCTAAACTTACATACAAGTACCAAATAACGAGTGAGTTTGGCTTTCTTTCATTTCTCAAAGTGATACTTAAACACAACAGTCCCGGTCTCAAATAAGCGTTGTTTCACATTCAACGGGGCGCAAAAGGAGAAGAAAAAATATAAAAAAAAAGGGGGATTATCAAAGCAATCCACTTCCAGAGTATTTCACTGGCAATGAGTATCATCAGTTTCGGGCTAATCCCTGATGGTCGACATCCAAGAAAGATCATTAATGTTATCAGTAACAACAACCGAATTTCCCTAGCAATTAAAGCCCAATTTGACAGGCTTAATTCTTTCACCAAATCGTTCTTAGCAACTCAATATGAGCAGCAACAACAACTGCAAGACAATTCAGCAGAAGTACCACACCAAAGCGAGCAATTGCAAGCAATTTTCAGGGATTTGTATATGCTCATCGATTGCGACAACTTCAAGCTTGATCGGGTCTCGAATATAAGTTTGCAAAAATTGCAGTCATTTGTCAACAGACTTCAAGGTGTCGAGATCAACACACATATGGATCAAACAATACACGACTTAATTGAGCAGTATATCAATCTCATTCTCGGTCTCAATTTGTCCAACACATTGATATACAAAACGCTTGTTTTGAAAAACCAGCAGGTGTATTGGGAGACCATATACAATTCGGTGTTCAACAAAATAGTCTACTTTGTTCAAACTTTACCAATAAAAACATATTACTTTGTAATTGACACGGTAGAGAAGACCAATCGGATAATTGCGCAAAACTTCCACCAATCGCAAACTGTTGACTTAGAACATCGTCATTGGACATACCAATATTGGCTGAAGTTTCAGAGTTATTTGTTTGCATTGGGGAAATCGATTTTGGAAGCAGTTGATTTACTCTTTGTTCAGGAAAATCCAGTGGTCACATTATTACAAAAGTCTGATATGTCCATTTTGTCATGCATAAAATGGTATGCATCATCAATTGTAAAGTCTCCTGTGGCTATAACCAATAAGGAAATAAAGTTGAAGTTAAAGTCAATCAAGAGGGAGATCCAATCAAACACGCAACATATTGACTTATTCGTCAAATCAGACGCGAAAAACCTTCTACCTACAATGAAGGAGGTTTTAGACTTGGAGGATAAAAGTGACGACAATAAACGAGTGATTGATGGTGTCATAGCATTTGGCAATAAGAACTATAATTCGACTTCGTCGCCATCTTTCCTTACCCGGTACTGGCTCATCATATCACTAGTTCTATTCTACGCACCATCGCAATCGAGAAATATGTACCGCAATCGTCACGAAATCATCCACTGGATCCAATATAATGGGGTTGAGCCTATAAAGGGCTTCTTTGTCAACTGGGTTATCAAACCTGTTAATGACATGCTTAGTATCTTACGAAGTGATGATGAAATCACATTGACCTCAAGAGACTCGTTGAAATCAGATGTAAATTCTTTAGAGAAGATGGTGTATGAATTTGCTCAAGATAACCACATTGAAACGACCCCGGCCGTTGTCGAACAAGATATCAAAAATGGTGACTTGAAGTTGGTTATGTCAAGGTATGAGAATCAAATCAGACAGCCTATTAAATACCTCATTTCGGGTTCATTATTGAGATTAATCTTGATTCAGGTCCAAAAAGGTAAAGTCGATGGAGCAGTGGCATTAAGCGGTATAGACAAGCTATTAAAAAGTCAGCAGTTGGTTTTTGGGATAGTTTCAATGAGCCCATCGTTGATTATTTTGTACCAACTTTACAACTACTTTACTCTGGCCAAACCGTTGCTTGTCAATGGGAAGCAGTTGAGTATAGTTTGCCTTAAATGCTTGAGTAACGTTGAAAATTTGCTTATTTCGTTACTGAGCAAGAGCGACAAGACATTCACGAATGATGCCAGCACCGATGAAGGGGAGTTGTTGATTGAAATCATCAATTTGATCTTGTGCTCCGAGCCTCTCATTCCAAAGGAATTACACGAAGATTGGATTAAAGACTTGAACGAGTTGAACAATAGCGAGTTCGACGTTGAAACGAAATTAAGATTGGTTCAACGAGTTTGGAATATGTACGGCAATTACTTCAAGTAAAATGAACTAAATGAACACATTCCATTGAATAATATATCAGTGGCGCTTGATGTAAGGGTATTAATCAATGACATCTTTATTGAGCGCATCAGGGGGGGATGTAGCAAAGAGGAACTTACATGGTGAGCGAGTTTTTTTCTACTCTTGTCGATAGATGAATTATCTGTTGTTTAAACTACAAAGTTTGGTTACCATTACCTGCTTCCCGCTTTATTCAATGAAATTTGATACTAACTTCATCAAAGATAACCTGGCATCTAGAGAGTTGAATTTAACATGCGTCAAATCCAATGCGATCTCCTCGCTGAAACAAAATTGATCCATAAGGTAACATGTGATCATTACGACAAAAACCCCACAATCATCGAAGTTACGTTGTTGATCGCAATTTAGCAGGACAATCTTTATTTTACCTCGTACCAAATTTGAGCAACTTTCTAGCTTTTTACACAATTTTTGTAACTGTAAATCTCCTTTGATATCAACGTCGATCTTCATTGAATCGTAGACGTATAGTCTCTCATCGAGAAGAGAAAGGACGCCCAACACCCAGTGGTCACCGTTATTAGCGGTCTCTAGGTCCAATTCTTCTAGCGGCTCGTCAATCATATTGATTGGTAGGAATATAATTTTCAGTTTTTTCAAATCGTCCATAGGCAAGAGATTTTCAATGTCTGAAGCGGGAAAATGTTGCATGAGCTGGACCACACTGGGAAATAATAGCTGTACTTGGTTCGTGAAAGGTCGACACAGTCCCAGGTTTATAAACGTCTCCTTAATAAGCTCATACACTAAGGAGATGTTATTATCGTTGAACCATTCCCCAGGCAAGATATGCTCCAAGTCTGATTTGTAGATGGATATTGAATGGCACTGACCTAACTTGAAGTCTGACGTGCCTTCTTTAGATGTTGATTTCGCCGTTATTATCTTGTTGTATATTTGTTTGAGCTCCTGCTTCGCTAGATAAGGCTTGAACGTGGCTTCGATGGCAGTGTTGCTGGAATCTAGTTCCATTTGTCGCTGCATCTGTTTCCGGCGCTGAACATTTATCTTTTTCATTTGTCTCAATTCACGCTTTTCCAGCTTTGTTAATTTCTTGTTTGGTGTGGGTTCCTGGGTTGGAACAGTAGATGAAATATCAACAACGTTTTCCTTTTCCAAATATTGATCCCATGGTAGCAGGTCGATACCATTGGTATTTGTGGTCTCTTTCAAAGGGGTGTAGTCAGGAACAATGCAAAATCCTTTGTGTTCCCGCCATATAATTGATGTCATGATAGTTTTTTAGGTTGTAGTTTCACGGGCAAAAACATGTTAACACTTTGATGATCATCATATGCATGCGGTTGCAAACCAGTAAGAAGAAGAAAAAAAAAAAAAAAACAAGTTGAAAAGAAGAAAGAAATGAAAAAATTTTGTGGACAAGACAGTTCAGCTTTTTGGGTATACCAACTGGAAAGGAATAATACCGAGAAGGAGATTGTTGGAAAAACGACTTACTGGGGTTATGGTGACTTCTATACTGATGCCAATAAAAAATCGCGTTTCAATTATGAGGTCGTCATGGATAACTACTCACCTCATACCTCGTCGGAGTATATCTCTAAACACAAGACCCAAAACTATGATAAAACTAGGGCAGCCAACTCATGAAACAAGGCCTCATATTATACCTAAACCCGGAAACCTCACACCGGGAATATCAGCACTTGAGTATTTCCAAAGGAGGTTGAGACTCGCATCCAAGCTACCCGACAATTCCTTGGCTATTATAATTGGAAATACTACAAAGTTTAGCTCGGGTAGCGTATTCTATGACTTTCAACAAGACAATGACTTTTATTACTTAACTGGTTGGCTAGAGCCTGATTCTATTATGATTTTAGAGAAGAAAGGCAACAAGGGCGATGATGATATTGTACTACATATGTTGGTACCGCCGAAAAACCCACAACGAGAGCTATGGGAGGGTGCCAAGACTGGATTAGACGGTGCATTTGAGTTTTTCAATGCTGATAGCGTCGAGGATGTTAGCAAAGCATCAGTTTACATCAAATCACTTGTCAAATCTACCAACACGATCTTTTATGACAACAAGTACGACGAGAAATTGAAATCGAAATCTTCAATCAGTCTGTTTTTCAATTTCGGTGGTGATAAACTGGCTGGGTTGAATGACGTAATAATGAGTTCAGGTAAACCAATTAATCCATTGAGCAAGGTGATTGCGTCTTTGAGAAGTGTAAAGTCTCCAGCCGAAATTGATGTTATGCATGCTGCTGGCCAAATCTCAAGTCGAGCTATTAATAAAGCGATTGGCCAAGTTGGATCGAGAAACCCAATTGCGACAGAAAAAACGTTGGCCAAGTACTTAGAGTATCAATTTGTAAGGGGCGGGTGCGATAAACAGGCATACATTCCTGTTGTTGCTAGTGGATCAAATGCATTGACCATTCATTACACAAGGAATGACGATTTGCTATATCGAGACGAATTAGTATTTGTCGACGCTGGAGGAAAGCTTGGTGGATACTGCGCTGACATTTCGAGGACGTGGCCAAACTCAACCAAAGGATTTAGCGGGCCTCAGAAAGATCTTTATGAGGCCGTGTTGAATACAAACAAAAAATGTATTGAATTGTGTAATGAAAGCTTGGGCCATTCCTTGCATGATCTCCATGATTATTCGGTCACCTCATTGAGAAAAGAATTGCTGAACATAACTGGCTTCCAACACGTGACAAAATCTGATGTATCAAGATATCTTTATCCGCACTACATTGGGCATCATTTGGGTTTGGATTTGCATGATGTACCGCCAATTTCTCGTTTTGATAAACTAGTAGCGGGAAATGTTATCACCATTGAACCAGGCTTGTATATACCGGAAGATGACAGCAGCTGGCCAAAACATTTCCAAGGTATTGGTGTTAGAGTGGAAGACGATGTAGTTGTAGGTAAGTCAAGTGACGAAATTATTAATCTCACCAGCGGTTGTGTCAAGGAAGTTATAGATATAGAATCGTTGATCAATGGAGGTGTAACTACACCAGGCATAGACGACGAATTACTAGTAATGGATATTTAATGAATATAAGAAGGACTATTTACAGCGGGGTACAATTTAACGGCCTAAATTTAACAAAAGAGAGTTTTTAGCGCCTTCAGCGCCTTCGCCACCATCTCCATTACTAGGCAAGTAAGTAATGTTTGGCGATCCTGCCAATGTGCTTGCAATGTCTTTGGATGCCTCTAATCTTCTGATCATCAATAAACCGTCACCAGCCTTGGCCAAAGCCTTGGAGACAACATCTGCAGACTCGGCTTCACCCTCGGCTCTGATAATGCTTGCTTTCTTTTCCTGTTCAGCTTTTTCCACAAGATACTTTGACCTTTCAGCGTCTTGTTGGGCAATCTGCTTCTGCTCAACCGCCTTGGTGAATTCGCGTCCAAACGTCATGTGCGTAATAGACACATCTTCCAATTCGATATTGAACTCATTGGCTCTTCTCGACAATTCTTGCCTAATTCTTGCCGAAACAACCTCTCTCTGAGTAATCAACTCGGCGGCATCAAACTGTGCCACAATAGCTTTCAATATTTCATTTCCAATTGCAGGCAAGACTCTCTCGTCGTAGTCTAAACCCAAGGTTTGATAAATTTTAGGCAATCTAGGCACATCTGGTCTCGCCAAAACCCGCAAAGTGATGGACACATTTTGCAAGTCCTTTGAGCCCGTTGTTGTTGTAATGACCTTTGGCTTAATCCTCACGTCAAAAACGACTGCCTTCTGTAGCCAAGGCACAAGGAAGTGGGTCCCTTCGCCAATAACTGTTTGCTCCACTCCCTTTAGACGATCAAAGATGATGGCCCTTTTGCCTCCTGGGACATCGTACATAGAAGATTGTGCTAGTGCAAACGCAACACCAGCTGGTAATGCAATCTTTGAAATAACTTCAGCAATCCTTTGTGACATTTGGGGTTTTGCAAATAGGATGTGCAATGGGTGGGTAGGAGAACAGTTTCAATTAATCTCTTTATATTGCGGTTGGGAAATTTTGCCAATTTTGCCTGTCTGGTGGTGGTAGTGGTGATGGTAGCGATGGTGCACGACCTTTTCTCTTTTTTTATAGGGGAAAGTGTTTGGAAATTTAGGTTGGTGTCGTTTTAACTGTAGATAGAGGGAGGATGTATAGACCATCATTAGTGCATACAGAGCTGTGACTACGAGAGATTTTCATCTGGGCCTGAGCAAGAGTAGAAATACTACATCTGTTACAAGAAGGTTGCCAATAAAAAACAACCAGTGAGAACCGTTTTAAACAGTAAAGTTGTACGGTGCAAGTCCATATCTTGGTCGCTGTATTGGTGATAATCTGTTCACAGAAGTGCGTTATTACTTCCTTATGAACAACTTTTGGTGTGGTTTCATTATGTTAACCAGCCCAGCATATTCACCAAAAGGCGTAACATAAAAAAGGACAAAAGAGAGATCCATGCATACATAATTAAGGACATCATGTAATTGAAAAAAAAAAAAAAAGAAAAAAAAAATGACACAACACTTTTTAAACTATCCGACGTCTTTTTCTTTTTCTTTTTCATTTTCATTTTCCTTGATCAAATTCAATCCATCAATCAACCTAAACTTCTACAACATTTGCATACCAAGCTGGTAATAAAAAAAAATGTCTGCCTCATTAGATAAATCATTGGACGATATCATTTCGTCATCGAAAAAATCTTTCAAGTCAAGAAGACCTGGTGCTAAAGTCGGTGGGGCCAAAGGCACTCAAAATAAAGTTGGAAAGAAGTTGGTCGGAAACAAAGTTAAGAAGACTGCTACTTTCAAAAGACCAAACGGTCCTAGACCTGGTGCTGCTGCTGCTGCTGCTGCCGCCGCTGCCGTTCCAGCATTTGATTTGTCCTATGCAACAAAAGTCAATGTAACTGGTTTACCAAAGGACTTGAAGCAAGATAACATAAGGGTATGTTCAGTATAATGGAAAAAGAAGAAAGAGAAAGTAGATCATTGGGGGTGCCGAATGCGTGGGTGAACGAAAACAAAGGTGTTACGTCTTGATGAGAATGTGTTTTGAGGAAATCTGTGATGCTTATTGTCACTTCATTGGGGGGGTATTACATTGCCTTTTCTCTTAAAAGCTTGTTGATTGGTACAACTATATGGTTCTTTTTGAGTCCAATTAGTGACCTTTGACAGACCCTATTAAATTTGAGCTTATCAGCTTGTAAGTTCAAGCAAAAGCAAGAATGGTTAGTGCTGGGGTCGGGTCGTAAATGAAGGCTTGTGCTAAATGATTCTATGTCTTGGGCTCAGCTATAGTTCATGTGTGACTTAGAGGGGGGTAGAAGCTTTACATCGAGGCTACTCGTAAGCTTCCCTGCTGGTACCAGTCCAAGGGAAAGATTGCATTTTCAGTTTAAACATCTGTCGATGTTTTCGCTCATGAGATGATTTAATTGATTGTCGTTGAACCAAATTTGTCTTGCGAGGAGTTAACTGAGCTGACGCGATCGGCAGCACTAGACTGGACTTCTACCTCATCTTCCACCTTATAACCATGCTATTGGATTTACCACGTGATCATTTAGTATCAGAACATTCATCGGATCTTCACACTACAGCTTTAGTTCTCATATTCAGCATCACCCAATCTACTTTTTTATTTTTTTTTGTTGTTGTGTATATTCACTTCTACTTGATTCAAAGACTAACAATTTTAGGAATTTTTTCAATCGCAAGTTGGTGGTGTTCAAACCGTGGCTTTAAGTTATAACGAAAGAGGCCAATTTAAAGGTGTGGCCACTGTGATTTTCAAGTCTAATAAGAATGCTTCCTTGGCTGTTGAAAAGTACCACGGTGCTTCAATTGACGGTGGTAAGGGTAAATTGTCTTTAGAATTGATTATCGATACCACAAAGAAGCCACTTGCATCTAGAATTACTGCAAAGCCAATTCAAAAAACGCAAGCTGCCAAGGCTATCGAGAACAAGAAGAAGTTGTTGGTTAAGAAGGCAAAGAAGCCGGCAAAGAAACCTCAACAAAAGAAGAAAACTGTTGAGGAGTTGGACCAAGAAATGAAAGACTACTTTGAAAACTAAAGTCGTCTGCGTTGCTTGTCGAGTTTATTGTGTACTTTTATAGTAAATGAGTTACTTTTTGATGTATTATTCTAGATCAGCCATAGGGAGAAGAGATTGTTACGAGACTTTGACAAGACTCATATATCATTAAACCATTTCCTCCCACTGCCACCTCTAATACCAAAATAATCAAGTTGGGTCTTTGAATAACTCCATATCATGTTTGACCCCAGAGTGCAATGGCTGATTTTTCCTTTTGTGAACTAACACGCAATTTCCTTTAAAGTCTCTCAAATGCAATTTGAGCAGGAAAAAAAAAATTCAAAAATTGTAACCGAATGTGAAATTTTAGACTCTCAGACAAAGTTTTGGTACAAGCCAACAACCACTCTTCTGTTACACTACATCTTACACAGCTGCTTGCAGTATACCAAAGCGACTACAATGCCAAATTTGGAATTCATAGTCACAGCTGAATTTCACATTGATAAAGGTCCATCCTTGATGTACCAGTATCCTCATGAGATTCCTGGGTTGAAAAACTTGTATTTCCTTCCTGAATTGATGTTACCCGACCAAATACACAAACGTAATGAGGACTACACACTTTTCCTACTATATCGGAACATGACCACTGGTGATTTCCAGTACTTGTACAATAAAAATACTTGTGAACCAGACCCATATTACTTGTACACTATAGTGTTGAATTTACATAATGACGAATACAAACGTGGGTCTCAGGTGAAAAGCTTGTCCATAATCACCAAAATCCCGTATTTTAAGAACTTTAAACCAGTATTGATGATTTGCTTGGACCTGTACTTTAACAATAACAATTTTGATGTCGTTAAAGAGCTATACCGCAGTTTGAATGAAAAAGATTTTAGCATGAGCCATGACCCTTCGGATACGGCAGGAATCGGTAATGACCTAAGCATTGTGAAAAAGATTTTGATTTCAAGCATATTGGACTTGCCGATTAATGACAAAATATATTACGATGAAAATTTTAGAAACAAGGTTCTTGGTATTGGAAAGAATAGAATTCCCAATGACACCCTATTTATCAGAAAAGACTTGAGTTTCAACTCGATTGTAAACTTCAACAAAATGAACATTCCTATTAAGGTGCCATTGTTGAACTTGCCCGATACAATTGGAGACTATTTGAACCCTACTGACTTGAATTTTAAACCAAACTTGATCAATATTTTAAACTCCAAGCTATCTGGCGAATTATTGAACAGTGAGATGACCATTTACGGACTCCAAACACCCCCAATCATCATCCTAATAAATGCAATATTGACTGGAAAAAGGATATTGGTGCTTAGTTATGAAAACAGCTCGGGGTATATCATTGATCATATTCTTTTGATCTTGAAAATTGTTACTGGAGGAGGCATTTTAAGCGGACTTTTAACAAATTATAACGTGTTTCCAATAATCGATGTGTCTAAAATCGACTTGCTAGAGCAATGTGAGAGCTTTATTGCTGGTACAATAAATCCATTCTTTAAGCACAATGACAAGCTATGGGACCTTATGTACGATTTGGATTCAAATGAGTTGATAATTAGTTCCAATGTTGCCGATGCCTCATCGGTGAATTTCAACATGGAGTTTAAGAGCTCCATCATTTCAGAGGATGCGAGGTTCTTGTCAAGTTTGCAGCTCTCTATATTCAACTATAATGACGACTTGACCACAATTCAGTTGATATTTCGTCGTCACATCAATGAAATTGTTCGGATTTTGCTCAGTTCCAAGAATTTTAATAGCAGCTTGTTTCCCAGTAATAAAGATTTGATCTTGCTACTTGATGGAATCGGGTATTTTTGGTCAAGTGATACTTCCAAGTTGTTGGAAATGTCTTGTTATCAATTAATTTCAAAAAAGTTTCAGGATTTGTTGTATAATGGGAAATTGACATACAATCTTCTTCTCCCGAACTTATCCAACGAGTTGAATCTCATGATTGATTTACACTATCATTTGCAGAGCTTGAGCAACATATCAGTGGTTAATGCCAACTCCAAAATCAATGAAAGAGAAGTTTGGTTTAATATATTAAAATTTTTGATATCTGGCAAGTCCTTGGAAATCTTTTTATTGACAACGTACTTGATCCCACCAAGCAGTTCCACTAGTTTGCAAAGCTCGTCGGCTCATGGTGGAAGCTTGACCATATTTGACAAGAATAAAGGTATTGAACTTCTATTAATCAATCTATTCAATTATGACGACCAAATAAAGTCCAATGTTATAATGATTTTACAAGAACTACAGGACAACTTTTTATGCGGTTGGTGTCTAGAATTATTTTTGAAGAGTAACACTGTTTACGAGATTGCGTTTAATGATTTAATTAATGAATGACCTTTTGGACTATAGTTCATTTTACTTCTTATATACACGTATAGAACTTTGTATTTCCATGAATTTCTCCCCCTTGCTTATGATAGCTCACTTTATCACTTTATCCTCTGGTGCAGGTGAGTAATATTGGGCTTCTTTTTCTTTATCGTCGGGCCAGTATTTTTGTTTCAAAATATTGTATAAACTTAATCGGTCACCTGGTCTTCGTGTACTATAAGCAAACCCGCTACCGACATATTTACTCTGCCTTCCTTCATCATCATAGTTCAAATTAGGGTTATTTTCTGGGAAACCTGGCCTTTTGACACTAATGTTGAACTCATTATCTGAATTATTAACATCTGAATCGTTTTCCATTTTGTGACGTTGCTCCTTCTTGTAAGCAATATGCTTCTTTCCCGTTATGAATAATGCAATGGCGATGGATGCAAAAAGCGCATATCTTCGAAGTATAGATGAACGAGTTTCCGTGTTTCTACTTGCCAAGTTGTTTGTCATTGTTAATGGAGATGGTAGGGGGATGAAGCAGAACAGTATCGATACAAAAAAAAAAGTAAAAAATAAATGAGGTGGTGAAAATGAGGTGAGTATTGATTGAATAGAGCTTCGTCGCTACCAATTTCCCTTTTTCTAGTTGGTGGTGCTGAGCACCATCAAAACACTATAGCTCGTGAATGTTGGTGCTGCATTACCAAAACAACTTCAACACATTGTAAAATGAATATATATGTTTCTCTATACTCCACTTGGTGGGGAATTGTTGGCTCTTTTTCTTTCCCTTTCCCTTTCCCTTTCCCTTTCTGGTTATACCACCTTTTGATACAACAAAATTTACCTCAACTCCAATACAGAGTCAGGACAATTTCCATTAACATTGACGTACCCAACTTTATAATAGCACAAAGCCTTAAGTTCGTCAAAAAGTTTAAAGAGTTGAGCCCATTGTTGACAACCGATAGTTGATCGGTTCTATCTCATTCTAATCATGTAAGTCTTCCGTTGCATATAAGTTGAAGCAGTTCAGAGAGGGAGGATAACTGTTGCTTTGCATCCTCGGTATAACCTCTTTTTCAATTTCAGTGTTTCCAATACAATTGCAATAACTATAACTTCAACCCCATACACACACACACACACACATTTCTTTTTGAACATTTATGCAGGGTTTCAGCGATAGAGGTTCAATAGTAAAATAATTTGCAAGTTGTTTTGGGAAAAGCAATATGACCAGAGTCATTCAACAGTGTAACAATGCATCAAACCTATTATGAGCTATTTTATCGTCATTTTATTGCAAAAAAAACGACTTTTAAAAGAAAAACATCTTTTTGGGAAAGTAACTGCTCTAGGCACCACCACTGAAGTCCAACTAAAGTGCATATCCTCTTCAGGAAGACAAAACAGTAGGCAAGGACTTCCAGTCAAAATCATTTCTTTCGTGTAAAGGATCGGCGTTTGGACAGAGTAAAGAACCGAAGAGATTACTTTTTAACCGAAAATTTCTTTTTCTCTTCCTCTTATTTTAGTCCATCTTACCTAATCTCCGTAAAGCAACAAAGGTCTCTATTTCTTTTTTTTTTTTGTTTATACTGTGCGGGATCATTTTGCAACCGATCGTTCCTTTTGTATTATTACACGTATATGTCGCATATGATACAAGATTTCAGTGCATGGTGCTTTGAAGTAACGCAAATGATTATTTTTAGATTACACAACGGTTAAAAGAGTCATGCAAAAGAAACAAAAATAAGAAAATGGGAATATGGTTCACTTTGTTTTTTAGGTAGGTACCTCTGATTCTAGCCGGTTTGCAGATGTAAAGATTTATGCTGTGTAAATATTAGAATAGTTACGGTAAAGATCGATCGATCGATCTATCTATCTATCTATCTATATATATATATATATATAGCAAAGTATTTTATTGTCTAATTGTTCTCGAGTCAAAGTTGAACTATACATTCCACATCATGATTGTCATCAAACAGACTATGTCAATGCTAAACAAAGTGCTTCCCAATGCTGTAAACCCTTTACCAGGATCCGAAACGACTACAAAAACAAGCCCCAGTGTAGTAACGCGTAGCAGAGCGGGTCTGTCATCTAACCGCAGGGACCATGGTTCATCAGACCCTCCAAAAGGGGACGTCGCTGTCCACAATAGTAATAGTCTACAACGAGGTGGTAGTTTAGGGCACAAGAAAAGCACATCCAAGTCGAAAAGTCGATCTAATCAAAACCTGCATAACTCGCGTTCCCGGGACCCATTACCAGTACCAGAACCAATGACCGTGTCCGACTTTCAAGATTTAAACGAAAAAACAAATCATGAAGACCTGCAAGAATCAGCACAACATCTACAAGGGAGTAGTATCAGTCACGATGAGTTAAATTCGTTTGAATGGCTCTTAATTTGTATCATTATTTTGTTGCTTTTTATCATTTACATGACTACTTAATGTGCGTTTATTATATGAGGGACACACAAGCAAAGGTGGTCGGAAGATGTGAGATTTTTACGGTTCTGCACTTCTTGTTTTGAAATTTAGTCGCTGAACAAACAGAGAGTTCTGATTTCATTATATCGAGAAGGATTAACAACGGAAGCGCATAGAAAAGGCGGTACACTGGCAGCCTAGGAATTCAACATTGCATAAAGGCACTCTAGTCTCTATGGAATTTGGATTGGGTTAAAGGTACATAGTATTTTGATAGATGCTCCTTATAGAACAGTTTGGTTTACTATTTTGCCGTAAATTCCAACCACTCGTAATGTCACCATTTTGTAATTTTATTTCGATAGCATAAAACTGCTTGTAGTAGTTCTGCCACATGTCACTAACGAGCACAAGTCGGATATTAATGTCTTTCGTTTTTTCTTTTTGCCCAAAAGACACATTTCGTAATTGTTTTGACAATAAGTTTTATTATGCCAATTACGTCTCTTATCGGTGAACAACTGTCTTAAGATACATTTGGGTTAGAGAAAACTCCCCAAGTGGAGAGTGGCACTTCCATCTCTTCTATTTCTTGCTTACCACCGTTAGTATTATTAACTGCCTTTGAAAACTAACGGTTAGCGTCTGCTGTTAAAAAAATACATTTATCCAATGTTAGCGTCGATAGGTATAGTGACACAAAATTAAACAATTGAAATTTGAAATATACTGAGTGCACGACGACACGACACAACACGAATTATATGATAAATGAAATTTGTTTTTTGCTTTTAATCCACAAATGGATATCTAGAAATAAGTAACTTTGGTCTAGAGCTCCTGCCGGTTGACTTGTAAAATAAAATTCATATTGCAAATCAGTTACGGTGGTAACATAAAGAAATCATCACTAAGTATCTACAAACTTTAAAAAAAGGCTTTGAGTAGAAGCCACCAGCTAGCTATCGATGAAGTAAAATCTACATGTTTTTGCTTCTGCTTCTATAACATTTACCTCACCTCATCTTTTGCAATAATAATAATAATAATAACAATAGGATATCAATACACAAGAGAGTTGACTCTACACCTCACAATAAGGAGTCTTTAAAGTAGTGTCGATACCAAAAAAATTGGCTGTGTTTTCTCAAACAATGTTACAACCATTGTAATACTATTATTTATATATGATGTGTATATAATACATTTAACAATCGAAACTTTGCTTACACTCTCTATCTATTGTATTTTTCTTTATTTTGGTAGTGCATAAGACTACTTCTAATATAGGTTCCTATATATATATATATATATATATATAAGTGAAGTAGCCATGCAGTGGGGTGTAGATAATAGTGGCGACACTGTAATGAAATGTATTGCAATTTTTAAGTATAAAAGTTTTAGTCGTGTATAAAAGGTTGAGATTCTATTGTATTATATTATAAAACTTATTACACAAAATAAATAAGAAATCGCGCGCATTTTTAGAGTTTGACACACTTTTGATAAAAAATATTAAAAATAAATAATAATATATATTAAAAATTATTTTTTTTAAACACATTTACACGTACACCATATACACACTACACATACTATATACACACTATACTTACATACACTAATGCATATACGTGTTTATTTTATTTTTATTCATTTACCTATTGTTGATTCTATTGTTTTACTTACAACAAAGTTGCTGGTGTGTTGAAATTTTCAGCAGTGCATTGTTGTTGTGGATAAAACAATGGCATTCTCGGCCAATTCCATTTTCCATTTCCCTTATTACCATGTATTACAATTATTTATTTATAAGCCACGATGCCCCTCATCATGTGCCTGCCGCCCCCCTTTCAGCCTATTTTTTGATCTGTCGATTTTTTGTATCGTTTATTCTTTATTTTTTTTTTTTAATTTTCCCATAGATTGCAAATTTGCTACCTATAAAACTACCTATCATAATTTCTCATCCAGTGATATATATATATATATATATATTTCCCAATATTTTCTTCACTACTGTTGCTTGGCTAGCCCTTTTTAAAAGTGATTTACAGTCACACCACTATATAATCGTTCACCTGCTCAACATACTAGATTGTGTCACTTTTTTCTGTACCTTGCCACCGTTTGATTTTCATAGCATTTTTAAGCAAACACAACAAATAATGAAGTATCACTTGTTCATCATCACCATTTTGGCTGCATTTTTAGCACCTGCTTTTGCGGATGTGGAGATCACATCACCAGAAGAAGGAGACAAGTTCTCTGGTTCCTCTGGAACGGCCAGTATCAAAGTGAGTTGGAAAGATAACTCAGATTCAGACTCGGATACATCATTGGACAATGTCAAATCATACACACTTTCATTATGTACCAATGGATCACCTATTCAGTGCCAAGACCCAGCAATCAAGCAAAAGGAGCTTACATCTAAATCGACTACTGTCACTGTTAAACAAGATGATGTGCCAAGTGGTTACTACTTTATACAAGTTTACACATTATTCACTGGTGGAAGTTCATCAATCAACTATACTCCTAGATTCCAGTTAACCAATATGGATGGGCCAACCGGGACTCTTGTTGTTACAGTGACTGGAGATCAACCTGATGGTCAAACTTCAGCCTCTCAAGCATCATCCGTTGATGTTTCAAAGAGTGTGACGGTACCATATACATTGCAAACAGGAAAAACAAGATACGCTCCCATGCAACTGCAACCTGGTTCAACGGTTACTGCCACCACTTGGTCAATGCAATACCCTTCTAGTGCAGTTACCTATTACTCAACCAAACACAGCAAACCTGTGGTGTACTCGACAGTAACCCCAGGATGGAGTTACACAGCTAGTTCTGAAGTCAACTGGGCTACAGTTGCTCCGTACCCAACGAATTGGTATGCTGCCAGTGAGAGAAAACTCAGTAAAGCCTCGATGACAGCTACTCAGAAAAAGAGAAGATGGATAGAGTAAAGGGTACATGACTAGAATTTTGCGATTGTTGGTAAGCCAAAACAAGCAGCTAATTACCATCTCATGAGTATTACATAGGCTACACCATACAAATCTCGTGCAATAAAAAAGTGTGGATTCTTTTTTGAAAAGTTGGTTCTAAATACAGAAATTGCAGTAAGTGATGTTTCCACATCATGTGACGCAACTTCGGGGTGAAGGTGAGAGTAGCTATTTAGTGGTCACCACTCCCTTCCTCTCCATGATTACCTTTCTACATATTCATTCTATCCTTGGCCGCTTTTGCCATACGGTTTAATTTCACAACGAAGGGAAAGGGAGACACCATTGGCAAAACACGCGTACTGGTGGGTGGCTTTTGATCTAGGCTTTGTTTGGGAATGCCCTGCATATAAAACGCACCACGAGAAAGAAAAGAAGAGGAAGAAAAAAAAAAAGTCCTAAGAAAAAAAAAATTGGTTTTAAAAACTTTTGCCAGAGCAAGTTCAGATAATCATAACACAGATACATTTAATACAGACAATATATAATACTGTCCAAAAAGAAAAAAAGACCACCATCACATTTGCTTAATAAACAGTGATCACAGATCAGAACTAGACACCTTCGCTTATTGCTTTCATTCTGACTGTTTTTTTTTTGTTTTCTATTTGTTTATTCTTCCGACACAGCCTTCTTTAAACGACACAACAAATAATGAAGTATCACTTGTTCATCATCACCATTTTGGCTGCATTTTTAGCACCTGCTTTTGCGGATGTGGAGATCACATCACCAGAAGAAGGAGACAAGTTCTCTGGTTCCTCTGGAACGGCCAGTATCAAAGTGAGTTGGAAAGATAACTCAGATTCAGACTCGGATACATCATTGGACAATGTCAAATCATACACACTTTCATTATGTACCAATGGATCACCTATTCAGTGCCAAGACCCAGCAATCACGCAAGAGAAGCTTACATCTAAATCGGCTAATGTCACTGTTGACCAAGGTGATGTGCCAAGTGGTTACTACTTTATACAAGTTTACACAATATTCACCAGCGGTGGCACAACAATCAACTACACCCCTAGATTCCAGTTAACCAACATGGAGGGATCAACTGGGACTCTTGTTGTTACAGTGACTGGAGATCAACCTGATGGCCAGACGTCAGGATTTGACGAAACAACTGCTAGTGATATATCACAAAGTTTCACAGTACCATATACATTGCAAACAGGAAAAACAAGATACGCTCCCATGCAACTGCAACCTGGTTCAACGGTTACTGCCACCACTTGGACACCAAAGTACCCCACTAGTGCAGTTACCTATTACTCAACCAAACACACCAAACCTGTGGTGTACTCGACAATAACCCCAGGATGGAGTTACACAGCTAGTTCTGAAGTCAACTGGGCTACAGTTGCTCCGTACCCAACGAATTGGTATGCTGCCAGTGAGAGAAAACTTAGTAAAGCCTCGATGACAGCTACTCAGAAAAAGAGAAGATGGTTAGAGTAATTTACCTCTAAAAAGGTAAGGGGTGAGGAATAATTTGTTCATATCTCCCTGATGTGTTTTGCCAGAGGTTTGTGTTTGATTTATAGCTTGAAGTATTATCTGTAGTACAGCTAAGTATTTGAAGTATATCTTATGATTGCGTAGTTAGTGTTTTTGTCGATGAACTTCTTGTGTTTTCTCATTGGCTTACGCAATGGCGGACAACGCTACGGTAATGCGACCTTATACTTTGCTTGTATTCGAAAGATGAGCTTTTGCTTGCTGAGTGAGGCCAGGCCTGTAGGTGTTCATTTTCTTTTCGAACTATCCACAGTATTATGAAGGAAGTTGAGAGAGAGATAGTGTGTGTGTGTGTGTGTCACCAATGCAATGTTTAACAGCAATCTTGGGATCTTCTTGCGGGAAACAGCTTCAATGCTGGAGCATCATATGTTGCATAAATTTTTCAAAAATGAATCTAGTCGCGTCACCTGGTAGATGTTGGGGAAAAAATCGCCCTGATTTATCTTAAGCTTTGCTTGGTTCGACGACAGTACGATTGCATTCCGTGTTGCATGCGCTTTTTCAAATAGTAAGGTATGTAGTCCAAGACTGCAGAACTTCAATAGTGTTTCTGCAAACACTCAAGTGGGACTGGTTGTTCTGTGAAATGCATGCAAACTCAGTAGGAATATATACCTCATTCTCAAAATTGCTGCAGTTCAGAAAAGCTAGAATTTTCTTCGAGCAGAAAGTGCCTGCGTGGCGAAATGGTTATCGCTTTTGACTTCTAATCAAAGGATTCCGGGTTCGAATCCCGGCGTGGGTTCCACTTTGCGGCTTTAGCTCACCTGGGAGAGCGTCAGACTGAAGTATTACTTCTGAAATCTGGAGGTACTGTGTTCGAGCCACAGAAGCCGCAATTCTTTATTTTTTTGATTCAGCAGGTACTAACACTACATCGAAGAACCAACAAAGTTTGGATCTATGGCAGCATTGATGAGGGAATCCCTGACCGATAAAGAAAACTTTTTTTTTGCCACAAGTATTTCTATCAACTAATTGAACGAGTTTTTGGTGTCCTCCAGATCTTTACTGTGTTAATTACAACGGTTGTGTTTGGCTTGTCTGTATTGAGTCTAATAAACACAACTACGTATGCCACTGCTGCCTGAATAACCTCCTTTGTTGGCAATTATCTCTTGCAACTGATAAAAATACATTATTATTTAAGCTCTACTTGTTTACGCACCGAGACCAATCCTCTTTCCTTGTTTGCAATGCTCACATACTTCGGGCTGTACTGCACCAATTCATTGTACGCAGGAATAGCCTCTTTGGTACCACTCTCGTCAGATACAGGCAGTAAGTCTGCCCAAAAGCATTCGACATATATATCCAAGACGTTCGATCTGTCATTAATGCCTGGCAACCAATAAATTCCAATGTCATACTGATTGTTCCAATCCAATTTGTTTAAAAGCAACTTTTTGATCCCCTCCACATCCTTGTATATGTAATCACCGTTATGCGAAAAGCCATCGGGAAGCTGTTTGAACGGAGGAAATTTGTGCGTACTGTTTTTGACCAACACTGCCTTCACCTCGTCTCGTGGGAACTCGATATTGCACATTCTGTTTTTATGAGCTTTGATAACCACCTCATTGAAATTTATTCCAAATGAGCCAGCTTGGCTAGAATTTTTAACTACTACTTTAAGATAGTCCTCTGAGGTGTTGGATGGCACAACGTTGGGGAATAATTGAGTCTTGTATGAGCAAACCTCGACTCCATCAACCTCTATCTGACAATTGATAGAGGTCCTTGACTCCTCAACAGAGGGGATCCTGGACAAAAAGTGGGGGATGTTATCACCACGACCAAATATGTGAACCGTGCTCTCAGTCTCATTAAGGGTTTGCAAAAAGCGTACTTTCAATGGGTTTTGTTCATTAAAAGGTTCTGTGTTTAAAACCAAAAGAGAACCAACCAAAGCCACAGCAAAAAGCCCCAGAATCAAAAATCTGTTCAAGAACCGAACAAATGGAACCAATGGTAAAACCAACAGAATGGAAAAGATCTGAATCACCATATAGACAAACTTTTCCGATGCTACTGATTCCTGGATTGTTTTATTAACCCCCTGAAGAATTAGCCAACCAGAATTGTAAATAACGTAGAATGAGACCGGCACGGTCAACAAGTACTGTAAGGACCAGTCGTAGCTGCGCTCATTCTCCCCAGTGTTCGCACCGTTCCCCACTCCATCTTGTTGGTCTAGTTCATCGTCATCATCATCATCTTCTTCTCCGTCGTCCAGTATATAGCGCTCACGTTCAGCTCTATCCAAAAGGGGTTCCTCATCGGGTCTTGTTTTTGATTGAGCTCTGCTGAAAGACCGTCCAAGTAGACCAAATAGCAAGGCAACGGCCTCCAATAAAAACAAGACAGTTACGGCAAATTCGCCGCTATGTCTCTGGTCGCTTTTGTTGACAAGCACATTTCTAGTACTGTACACTAAAAGTATCCAGTAAATAAAAGATACCTCCAAGATACACACCAATTTCAAATCCAAGCTTTGGTTGACCAACCTAGACACAAGGTAAATAACAAATGTTGCTATTGAAGCAATCGTAGTTACCAACAAAAATGGCCTTGACGTAGGTAAAAAGGGGTTCAGTGCTTGAAATATTTGTGCTGTAACCAAAGAAACAATTGCCCAAACTATCAACACCGAAATGGGAAGAAACAAAGCATGCGAAGTTGGAATGTGCCACTTCTTGTACTTTAATGTGGCAAAGGTGAGACCACCGTTGATTATGGCAAACAAGACAATCAAAACAATGTTTATAGCAGCCAATTTAGAAGACGAAAGGGAATAAAAGTTGTTCAATATAGACGTGTAAACTGCAGCTTCATCATATCCCGTATCGTCAATTTCGTTCTCAGCAATAAAAGTGGTAAAGTCAATTGCATTAGAAAGCATATGCCACAAAGACTTCAAGTCAACATTTTTAATGTTATCTCCTGCTGTATGATATATATCTCTTGGTTTGAAGAAAGCCAAATCAAGACCTCGAAGTCCAGCTTCCCGGTATACCTTGTAATCGGTCTCACTGTGAATCAAAGAGTTTGAGAACCCTTGCTGAAAGATTGAAGATGCATAAGGATAACGCACAGTGCTAAAGTGTTTCACTATTCCGTAGTCAGTGCCTCTGAATAAGATAGCTTTGCCTCCAGCACCGGTCCCTTCTAAATTTAAAAAATACTTTACCTTTTTAAACCACGGATGCTTCACAAAAGCAGTAGCACCATAGAGGCCAAACTCTTCGTTATTGTTGAAATTGAAAATAACTGTTCGCTTGGGCTGTTTACGGCTCAAAAGGAATTGCAAGACGCCTAGCAAACTTGCAACCCCCATACCATCGTCAGTGACCCCAAAGCTAGTAGGGACAGAATCAAAATGAGCACTCAAAAGAAATGCTGGCAACGAAGGGTCTGTTCCCTCAACTTTCACCAACAAGTTGTTTGACTCGTAATAGGACACAGACTTGAATCCGGCATCGTATAAGAATTTGTTTGAACCATTCAAGTCATTGTCGAACTCGATATTTTTATGACCATGAATCAACTTTGAAATTGTTGTTTTTAAATAACGATGAACAACATCATTGTCGCTTGATGCATACGGATGTTGGTTCTCTGATATGACCTGCAAGTTAACCCAAGCCTGGTCAAGTATATTCTGCTCCAACTTCCCCTTTGGCAAATCTATTGAATACTCCAAGCTGTTCTCAATAAAGGAAATACCCACGCCCAAGATTAAGGTAAGTAGGACGAAAAAGGATAGCGATGTCTTTCTGTAACGAAATATAGCATTGATGAAACGAAGTATAACATTTGGTCTGTCTGAAGAATTGCTTGCTGAATGACGATCATTATGGTTATCCAGGGCCAGTGATGTTGTTTCTGCATCGGTCATCGCTAAGTTGTTCAAAGAGGGTAAAGAACGAGTGATGCAATTGGGGAAACGTGGCTCTCTTTACACAGTTAATCGCTAATAAATTAGCCAGCAGCATAATTTTGGGATTCCTCGGGTTAAACAAAATTTGTTCGTTTGATTATATAATAATTACGTAATTACTCTTTTTATTTTGCTGTTATTAAAAGCCGCATGTAGTGCGAACAGCAGAGGTTGTAAAAGTCCCCCATTTCTGTCGCCAACTCAATTGAGAATACTAATCCAATTGATCGCCTGGGAACTACTGTCAACAAGCTCTATAAAGATATTTCCTCCTCTCTCTGTGTCCTACTCTGTTATGAATATTCTCAAGCATTGCTGACACACACACACACACTCACACCAAGAGCGGTGATCAGACAAAAAAAAAGATCGAAAAAAAAAACAGAACAAACAAAATGGTTGCATTATTCACTTTATTTCAACAACGTTACAGATAAAAGAAGTCATGCCAAAGTTTGCCCCTTTAAAGAATGATTTGATTTTAAGAGCAGCCAAGGGCGAAGAAGTCGAAAGGCCGCCTGTTTGGATCATGCGTCAAGCTGGTAGATACTTACCCGAGTACCACGAAGTGAAAGGAGAGAAGGACTTTTTCCAAGCTTGCCAAGACGCCGAGACCGCCTCTGCAATCACAATTCAGCCCGTTGACCACTTTGATGGACTTATTGATGCAGCTATTATCTTCAGTGATATATTGGTAATTCCCCAGGCCATGGGATTCGAAATAAATATGGTTGAAGGGAAAGGTCCGGTTTTTGCAGAGCCTTTGAGACATCCAGAAGATTTGTCCAAAATTGACCTTAATCCGGACGTGAAACTGAAACTAGACTGGGCATACAAAGCTATTACCTTGACAAGGGTCAAGTTGAATGGAAGAGTGCCACTTTTAGGTTTTGTCGGGGCCCCTTGGACATTGTTGGTGTACATGACCGAAGGACAAGGGTCAAAGATGTTCAGGTTCGCCAAGCAGTGGATCTATGAGTTCCCTGAGGCTTCACACAGGTTATTACAGGCAACTTGCGATGCTTGCATTGAATTTTTGGCCCAGCAAGTTGTCGCAGGAGCTCAAATGTTGCAAATATTTGAATCGTGGGCGGGGGAATTGGGACCTGATGACTTTAATACATTTTGCTTGCCATATTTAAGAGAAATTGCAGCCAAATTACCTCTAAGATTGAAGGAGTTGGGAGTAGAGGAAAAAATACCGTTGACTGTATTTGCAAAAGGTGCTTGGTATGCGTTGGACGATTTATGTGACTCCGGGTACGACTGTGTTTCTCTCGATTGGCTATTTGACCCAACAGCAGCTCGAAAAATAGTAGGAGACAGAAGGATAACCTTGCAAGGTAACTTGGATCCAGGGGTCATGTATGGCACCGATGAATTAATTGAAGAAAAGGTCAAACAAATGATTGAAAAGTTCGGGGTTAAGAACTACATCATAAACTTTGGACATGGAACTCACCCGTTCATGAAGCCTGAAAAGATTGGCCATTTTTTGAAACAGTGTCATAAATATGGATCTAAGTAGAGTACAACCCTGATTAATAAAATAATTACCATTTGTAGTGTCCAATACGTTGACACTCTGGCCACGTTCTCCAGTTGGTTTGGAAGTTTTGTACTGCTTTGTTCTTCTTTGTCGAGCGAACAAATGTATAGTAACGTAAATGATACTTAGGGGCATCATTCAGCCCTTTGCGTGAAGGAAATGAAAGAGAAGAAGCAAAAAAAAAAAAAGTGCCACCAAGAATGATGTCCTTGATTTTAATACACCCCACAGCCAAATGACTCAAGGACCAATCGCAGAGACATACATATACGATTTGAATGATGCCTTCCTAGATTCATTAAGACTATTGTGTTTTGATTTGGCGACCTTTGAAACTGTGCAGCCACTGGAAGAGCTGTCTGTGAAATATGAGTCAGTACCCAAGGACATTAACTATTACAAGTCTGATTTGCATCGCTATAACTTGAAAAGAGCACAAAGCAGTTTACCCCCCGTGGACGAAAATGAATTTGAGAGATTAGTCGAAACTGAATCTGTTGAGAGCATCTCGGGGTCGGACTTTGAGAGCGAATCTGAACTGGAAGACGATGATGAACAGGAACAAAAAGTCAAAAGTTTGATCAAAAAGTTGAATTCGGTAAATATAGCAGAAGAGTCTCTGTCTGCCTCCCATTTAAATACCAAAAGCCCCTTTATCCTTTTTGGCTCCGAGTCTGTGACAAACGATAAAGCCATTGGAGTTTACAAAGCCTTGTTTCCCGAAAGCGGACAAGCTGATCCCTTAACATACCTCAAACATGCAAATGCACAGAAAGACTCGATGTCCGCAATTTTCATGATCGGTGGAGGGCACTTTGCGGGAGCTATCATAAGTCACAAAAGAAACGATTTAAAATCCGCCAATAATAAGGACAGCTTAAAAATGCAACAGGTGAATGTCATAGCTTCAAAAACATTTCATCGGTATACCACGAGGCGTAAACAAGGTGGTTCACAAGGTGCTAGTGACAATTCTCGTGGAAAGGCAATTTCTGCGGGCTCAAGTATTAGACGTTACAACGAGAAGGCTTTAGCTCAAGAAGTGAGAGAACTTCTTGCTCAATGGAGCGATTACTTGCTGGAGTGCACGGAGATTTACATTCGCGCAAATGGGCCTACTAATAAAAAGGTTATGGTGGGATACGAAGGTTCGCCGATTGATGCAAATGACAGCAGAATTAGAAAAATACCATTCTCAACACAAAGGGCAAGCTTATCGGAGCTCAAAAGAAGCTGGGTTGAGTTGACCCACTACAAGATAGTAGAGCTACCTAAAACAGAAGCAGTCAATGAGGCAAATGCAACAAAAGTTACACAAGACAACTCAAGCAGCATAAACGACAAGAGAGAAAGCAATGACGATGAACAACGTAGCAAGAAAAAGGAGGAAATATTGAACATTTTGAAAAGGCAAAAAGCTCCTAAATTGCTAAAATGGATTAAGGACAACCAGGTTGATGTTGATTCGTACCCTGTTGAAACAAACATCTATACTCCAACACCAACATTGCTTCATTACGCTGCTGCAAATGGTCTCTCCCACATGATTCAAATTTTATTAATCAATTTGAAAGCCTCGCCTTTGATACCGAATACAGCTGGACGGTACCCTGCCGAACTTGCTGATCATAACACCAAACGAGCATTCCAGATTGCGAGGTACAAATTAGGAGAATCACACTGTGATTGGGACAAGGCAAAAGTGCCAGCTGCTAGATCAAAAGAAGAATTTGAGGAGGAAGATAGAGCAAGAGAGGAAACTGAAAAACTTTCCAAGCAGAATCTCCTCAAAGCTGAAGCTTTAAAGGAAACTACGAACTCCCCCGGCATCAAACCCCATCAGAATAGTCTCGCTGGATTGAATGACGAGCAGCGGTTGAAAATCATGAGGGAGCAAAGAGCAAGAGCTGCAGAAGCCAGACTAAACAGATAGCATTTGATATGATAGTGGCCGCCAAAATCCCCGCTCATGATTGTTTTGCTGGTGCTTATTGAACTTTTGTACGACTATTCCATTGATATAAAGACAGCAATACACTGGCTGATGTCTCTAAAAGGACAATGCCACTATAGAGTACCAAACAATCTACCTAAAACATGTTTTGTTTGGATGAGGTATGTTTATTAAACACCCATAGAAGAGCTCCGTTGACCCAGATACAAACCGAGCAGTGCCTTCTTCAATATTGATATGGATTTATATCTATTTTACTCTCCCCCCTCCCCCCAATGCTTATCTTTGCAATATAGATTACTACTTACCTGGTCGCTGAACTTGAATCTTTACATCATGTATGAATACTTAACGTTTTGTTCCTTAAGTGATGCTCCACTGTCAGGTTGGGATAATACCCACACACCAGATCCCTTGTATCTACCTCGAAAAATTATTCTACATATTCATGCACGTAACAGCAATAAGTTCTTATAATGCTGTTCTGTTTTTAAGTAGCCCCATTGGGCTCACTCCACTAGTTGTTCTGAATGAAAGGATAGTATTTAGTGAGCTCTGTTTAAAAACTTTTGGTGGATGAAAGATTGTGCTGTAGAAATATGGGAAACCTGTCTGGTCATTCTTAACAATGAGGATCTCTTCTATATACCTAATTACCTGGTTAAAATTAAACGATATGCCCTATTATTCGTGTTCTAATTTCATATTAATACTCTTTTCGGGTTGCACAAGTAATTCCATAAAAACTTAAACTACCAAGCAAAAGCACAAAATTGGTATAAGGTGTCCCAATATGTGATCACTGATTATCAAAGCTTAATACACAACCCTCGATAGTTCTTGCTGCTTCAGAAGAATACTCTTTGATACACCGAATATGCTTATCCTTGAATCGTTGTATCTGATTCTTATCTTTAACGTCCAACACCACAGCTTCTTCTGGGGTTCCACTAGATAAATTCACTTCCCTGAAATATGGACGATAAAATGGAAGATTAAAACCACTTTCGATCTATCCTACCATATTTAGAGCTTATTTCAGATCTGTACGGAGCTATTTACCGAGTACGAAATTACATCACGAGGGGGTTCCATTTCGGGATCAAAGTCAGTGTCAAAAATTTTGACATGTCCCGGCTCTC